CATGTCTATACCTAATTGGTCAATAAGTGAGTCTGACTCATCACTATCAACCAATCAGATGATGCCACCTTGGCACACGCTACCCGTATGCCACTTTACCTACTTATGTAATAACTAAGGAAATATCTACCTACTTATGTAATTGGAGCTGGGCCCATTACAGAAGGACCCTTTATCATAGCTGACAAAAAGTAATATGCAGAATTTTAGCATTGATATAATATGAGTGAATTTGCCAATGCTTCTCAAGCCTGCTTGCTTAGTTGTTTTAAAGAGATCTCCTGCTTACATTCGATCTTTACGATCCTCATACGAATACAGCAGAGTACTACAAATCAGACTACCGATAGCATCTGAAGTCACCTGCTCAGCTGATCTAATCCGCATTGTTGACACTTTTACAATTACCGAACACATGTATGAATATAGAAAATTTCGCAAGGACATAAGCGTGAGCACTGGTGCTAATAACAAAGACTTCAGGCGTTCCCGTCTCTGAGACTACCCGTTACTAATTATTAAAAACAAATAAATGCACTTTTGAGCGTCCAGGAATTGTAAACAATTGGTTTATGAGCACCTAAAAAAGTCGCTATGTAACCAATTTCGCAGAAGGCGAAAGCTTACGTGAGTGATACTGAGTATCTTATCAAAACCTACCAACCCCCCCGACGACCTTTACCGATGGCCTCAGGACCGATCCTTCAATAAATGCGTAAACATAGGCTGGACGTGCATTCACTCGTCCGACGGCAGCATGCAATTGTCTAATCCGGTCATCACAAACAGGTGTCGAGTCGGGTCCGGTCCGGACTCTGGATCTCAGGATCCGCTACACCGGCCTCCAAGAGATGCCACTGCGCTGTGCTCAAAATCGGCTGGGTGTGACCACTGTCCTACAACAAGGGAGTGCGACAGCAAGTGCAGTCTTTACCTCTTTACTACCTCTACCACCGACGTACTCGTTGATCTCAATCGGCACTTCGCTGCCTATCGCAGTGATAGCCCGTCACAAACTCTCTTCGTCTTAAAGTCCAACCCACGATACCAACAACGGCCACTCGTTCCGTGACTTCAAAACCCAATGATCTTTGAGCTCCTAGATTTCGAGTATCATGACTTGCTTGCCGATGTGAGCAACGAGCCCCTCGTCAACTTTAAGGCTTGAGTCCGTATAGAACGCAAGACGGAAACCGTGGAAACTGTAGACCTTTAGGGTTATTAGGTACCGCACTACGAAAGAGTTCGGCGCCACCTCAGTCTCTTCGAATGGTCTGAGCCACGCGCTTGTTGTTTGACAAACGGCTGTTAATCCTGGACCACATTAAAACGTCTCCCACATGAAAGTTTCACGGTGCACCAGCAAACTTGTCCTTGTTCTGACGTCGCTGCTTTAGCTTGGTACTCACCAAACCGCTTGCTCGGATGGTAGCGCGACACGCTGATGGATTATGACCGCATGGCCAATCCATTCCAGGACAAGTTATAGTCGGAACGTGCGAGACGCACGCACCGTCTAGCTACCAGTGCCGATTTAGAATGAAGTGTGAAGGAGCGTGCTGATTTAGACACTGTCAAAGGTCTAATCGCGTCGTCGAGTCACTCGCATTTCCCATAGCTACTAACGATATAGCTATTTTCACGTAGGCGTTCAAACCGGGATGGGGCTAGTCATTGGGCAGGTGGCTGGGTGAAGAGACGACCTCGAGCCGTAGAAGCAAGCACCAACCGCTCATTTGCAAGATCTGTTTTGGTTTTGGGAGCGGTCCAGGAGTGGAGTCTTATGAACTCAAAAGCTTTTTCGACTATGTGGGCCTGTGTGCATATGGAGTATTTACTACTTCGTCGATGTGAAATTAGACAATTTGTGATCACACAAACTCAATTCACTTTTTTGACCTAGTAGCCGAGCTGAAGCGTCATGTTCGAACGATATTACAGCGAAGGCCGCTGCCACTGGCGGGCTTACCTTTGATGGCCGAGCGTAAGCGCAATAACTGACCAGAATTGCTTTCATGGTGGTGGTGGGGTGGGAGTCTCTACGGGGACGAGCGGTGCTGTTGTACGCTGCAAAGTTGTCACGCTCAGCTGGGCTCACGCAGCTGCAGACTTCTTCAGTGATGCTAGCAGCCAGCTACGACTACACCTCATCTAGTGTAACATAATGAACCCGCGTTCATTTTTTCACACTAGATGACGTACTTTGCGCGCAGATGGCGTACCGGTGTACTAAGTCGGAATGATCGGTGACTAATGCCGCTCAGCTTCTCGAGGTCATTGGAAAGCCATGGCCCCTGAGCAAGCCAAATACCGGGCGCAGCGTGTGATGTTGATGCCTACTGCGGCCGTCAAGGGCATCGTGGTTTGGAGGCGATGGCTCATACAGTCCAGTAAGTATCCTATGTCCGTGACCTCACGAAATTATGCCACCTGTTTCTGGCTAGGTGTCTGCTTTGTAAGCACACCGAGGGTGGAGATATTATTTCACACCCATGGGAACCAACGTATCCGGCTACGCGACGAAACAAAATTTCTTCACTATGATTCTCTCTATATGGGCGACAGTGCGGGAGCAGCATCACAAATACTCGTGCTATAGGATCGACTGAGACACTACTGTGCAGTGGTTGTATGTGACTCACCGACACGCGATGTCGTGGTGCAGATATTGCTCGACTAACCTGCACATATGAACTGCAAGTCGGCTCCAGTACCGGGGAGAGGCATCTCCACGAGACGTGCCGGGTCATGAAAGATGCCTTTACCGCTGATCATACGACCGCACCACCCCGCCTCTTTTTTGAACAGGCAGCTCTTGAGTGCACTCCGGATCAAACCATCAGAGCAAACACGATCGAAAATTTGCTAAAGCATGTCCAGCACAGCTCGGCCCGACATAGCATTTTTATGATGCCATCGATCCATATTAGCATGCTTATGTACATCATGTCACCAAAGATCTTGTGCATTTGGTTCTGAAAGTGAAAAGACAAGTCCATAGTACCCTGGGTCACCCACGTTGGCGTGTACACCGCGTCCTTCAAGATAAACGCATAAGCTCTTGTGTAATGGGCCTACTCTGTGCCCACTACTTCGGCTTACGCATTAGCACACGTGTATGAGAAAGCGTAATAAGCGTTTCACTTAGTATAACTAAACTTTCGTCCGACAGCATAGATTTGCTTAAATAGGAAAGCAAATCCGATTTTCGGTAAAATCGAAAACTGTTTGCTGTAGTTGTTTGGGTTTTCCTTATTCTAATTGGAAGTTATTTGCCAACGAATGGCTGACAGAATCCTACAATTCTAGTTGGTTGAAAATATTAACTTTCAACCATTCAATACCCTTAATGCATGCAGACCAATAAATGTAACCATTGGTGTATCTCACACCAACGTGGAAAACCTCCTTCGTAGCCGAGTGGTTACATGGAGCCACTTGCGTGTAACCCCGTTACATCTTGTCTGGACACAAATCCTTGGCAAATCCGATTTTGTCGAGAGCCCATACGCCCCGGCAACCCTATGTTGGGTGCCGCACCCGAAAGGGGCATCGTCTTCTGATTCACTGGGCGGTAGTCGACGGTCATACGACACTCCATCGGCTGACCGGGTTTTGAAACTGGAACGACAGCACATGCAGTGCGACTGTGGCTGTTCTTGAGGACGCATTTCCTTGCAGAGGAGCTAGCACTGGGCCGGAGCGTGCTTGCGTGGCTCCGCACGGAGCGGTATTGCAACATGCTTCAACGTCACCACGAGCGGCTCGACTCAAGCAGGTGGACCGTCCCCAATGTCGATGGCGAGTATATCGCTGTATCAAAATACGAACCACCGCAACTCTTCATAGAGACTGGGATCGAAAAATTTGCGTAGTACAGCAACAAACATCTCTCCGAGGTGGAAAAACACCCATGTTGGCAAGTTGAGCCTCCGTCTCGAACGGATCATCGTCAGCTGCCATATCGTCACGGGCGAGTAATCCCAGCTGTCGGTCAACATCACTTCTAAGCGACTTTAGCGTTGCTTCACCCAACAAATCCTCTATCTTGCCACCACTCATCACTAAGCATTTGACATTTGAGACACATACAGCGCCAGCTGCGGTATGAAGTTGGAAGTCAAACACCTGCTTCGCACTGGAATTGACCACCACCAGCCACTATAACCAGCACCGGCTGCGACAGCTTCTTCGGTCCGGCACGACCATCTAGCTGGGTCAGCCCGTCGACCACATCCTTGGTGTTGGTACTATCGTTTTTATTAACCTGTAAATGACTAAAACCAATGCAGCTTCGCGCCTAGACGGCAGACTTTAAATCGTCTTTTGATGCGTCACAACATTGACACGTTAGAAGACTCTTGTGTGTCGTCTCAACCATGGACATTTATTCAAAGCGTATAAGCCTTTGATTTAATACATGCCTCCATACCGTTTTCGAGTGTAGCAACAAATGCAGCTCTACCTCATAACCCTGCTTGCATTCGTAGCATGACCTCGTTGACCTTTACAAAATAATATTTTGTTCGATAAGCAAGAAACTAGAGCTTCGCGGGGCTGAGATAGCAGGAATTACATTCTCGCCTTGCACTGTGGTCATGTATTTTAGGTTTAAGCCCACTTCTCAATAGATTTGTTTAGATTACTTTTTTTCTGTGTTGCAGCTCTCTTAGTGACAAAGCTGCTGCTGTGCCTGCTTCACAACATTTAACAATTCGACATTTCCCGCGCAGATGCCATCCAAGCCCACCTCAAGCAGCACTCATCGGAAGAACGTCGTCCCATTCTCGAAGCTTACAACGTCCCAGATAATTGGCGTGCTGTATCACGTCGCAACGGCTTCCCGCGTACGACAGCTCTGTAACTTGTGAATAGCGGCCTTGTCGAGGATCTACCTCGTGGTGGGGCGCGGACGACGAAGATGACACCGCAGATTCATCCACGCTCTGGAAGAGTACCTCAATGAATTCTGCTCCTTCACACGAAATACTATTAAGTCCATGGTCATGGACAGCTTCCACGTGGGTCTCTCTTTGGCGACGATCTCGCGCCACATCGTGGGCATAATGTATCCTCTTAAACATATATGATTTTGTTTTGTACGCACATATTGAAAAGACAACGCATCCGCTAGTCGACCAAGGCAACAATAGAAAAACCTCCATGACAGAAGCGCGCATGCAGCATCTTAAAGGCGCCGCGCACGTCTGCATGCGCAGGGTCACGCAGCAGCTCGAGGTCCAGATGGAGCTACATACGCGCGACTTCGCCAACGTTGCCATCTGCATGGAATACATGAGCTACGATATGTAAGTAATATGTATCTGGCCACTTGCCAACTTTAATTGAGAAATTGTCAAACTTTGCTTGCAAACTCAAACAGTGGTACACCGTTGTTTGGGCAGATCTACATAAATTTCAGCTACCCAAAATAAAAGTGTCGACTTTGGATGCAAATGAGGCCAGACTTACAAAAGGCACGCAGCTTTTGGTGTCTTCACTTTTAGAAAACACGACTCAAATCGTTCGGAAAATGCTAGCTACTGTGTATAGACCAACGCCTTCCGTCGCGCCGTGAGCAGCATGTGCTACATTCACCCCCCCCCCCCCCCCCACTTGGAAATTGAGACGTTTAAGTTTGTATCCAGACCATTTGAATGCTAACAATCACCCTAAGTAAACTGTAGCCGGGGTTTCACGACAAAAAATAAAAGTGATGTTGGCTGCTATATTATGGTAGTTATTGTGCTTTGCAAATATTTTGTCCCACCGTTTTAAGCATTAGATCGATCTAGAGCAAGAAATAAATCGAAAGCATAAAAATGCGACCAAAGCTAAATCGTGCTCGCTGAGCAACAAATCAAGTGCCTCATTGGTGGTAAGCTACCGCCCATATCGTACATGCTGTCGACCACTGACGCTGCAATATTGCTCTGTTTTAGGCGAGCTAAAGCTCTTTAGCATTGTATGTGTGTCTACAAGCTGCTCCATCTTCCTGGTGCGCTGCAGCAGGTGGCAAGCGCGATTGCCCTCCGGTCTTGTAAGTGCTACGGTCACGTGTATGCTTCTTTACTAAAACCTAGTGTGTCGCTAGCTACTGACGCTGTAATATTGCTGTGTTTTACTCTTGTTGTGGCTCTTTAACATCATTGATGCGTCATCTAGCTACAGCGGCTTCTCAGCTCTCTTCCAACGACCTGTATACACCATCGGGTAAGCTCATTTTGAATTTATTTACTACCTGATTGTATCGTGTAGCTGTATTTGGCTTCAGGGATAGTATGAATGCTGCACGATCTGGGTGCCTGCCTTTTAATACACGGTTGAGTGGTTCTGTCACGTTTCGGATCGGAAAGCGTGCAAATGGCTCTAATAAAGGAACCCCGAAGAAGTCAGATTTGTGGCGGAAGAAGGATTTTCTGTGGTTCAAGGACACATTTTACGATTTCTGTCAGGAGACGAGGTTGGGTCTGACCCCGTGGTGCTCGAAGACAACAATATCTTCATGAAAATCACTAAAAATGCCCGTCAACAATTTTGGGAACTGCTGAAGCGCCGCTGGGCATGCATCACCGATACGGATATTTTGACGATGTCGTCAAACGAGCTTCCAATTTACGATCAATTCACATTTGAGCTCTTCTTTTAAATGGCCCTGCTAAACGCCAGGCAGAGGGTATTCGACGGGCAACAGCGGACCGTGTTCGAGCTGCAGCGAGAGAGATCGCAGCGTTACAAGATCGTGAGAGTCAAACGTTTGGTCCTATTGCTACGCACCATCTAGCCGTACACCATGCACGACAACCTGAGGGAACGGCGCTGAATGTGCCTGCGGACAAGACTATGAGGCAGGCGCTGGCGCTGGATGAAGCTACAGCGACCCTGGCAAGTGCGCCGTCCGAGACCGAAGATGATGCAGCAGAAATTAAAGTGGAATTATTTGGGGTGTGGGTAAAGATCCGTGTGAAATGATCTTCTCTGCGATCGGTTCTTCGGTTTCCACAGCACGATATCTTTTCACGAGGGATATTCCATGGCTTTAGGCCAGAAACAATGATGCCGCAAAGCGCTGACGCTCAAAACACTGATCACGACATTGCTACCAACGATTTGTAGAAATGGAAGACGAATGCCATAACCAACCTGATAGAGAAAAGGCACTTCTGCCGATGGATATTAACTACTTTTCGCTAAAGTGACTTTAATATTCTTCGTCATTGCTCTCGTCAGTAATAGATAGCTTAAACTCTGATTCTCGAAGCATCGTGTCATAACCGCAATGAGCGTATAGATTGAGAGCACCACCGCGTTTACTAGACTTGGATGGTTTGAAGCATGAGCACATTGCAACGTCCAGAACTAAACGGGTATACAATCGAAAGACTAGATTCGCGTTCTTCTGTACCCATCGCTTTAAAAGGCCGAAAATGACCTCTATTGGGTTAAGCTGAGGCGAATATGGAGGTAGGTAGATGAGGCGGGCTCCTGTTTGATAAATTACCTATCAATAAGAGACAGAAAAAAAAAATATGCTAGCGAAATAGATCGAAACGAATAAGTGACAGATAGTACGTGCTCCAGCTCACGATACATATGTATTTTAGCATTGTCAATTACAACTATTGACCGTGGAAGTGGCCACGGGTTCAAAAAAGGTAATATCTTCTCGACAAATGCCTTGTGAAACGAATTTCTCGTGTAGGTACCATCCGTACAATCCCAAGAAGCAAACCCAGCGTGATCTAGTGCTGCTAGTATTGACAATCGTTTGCCTCTACTAAACAGCAATCGAGCCACCGCTTTTGTATTTCGTTTTGACCATCCTTCGACGTTTTGTCAATAAAGAGCGGTTGCTCGGGATACGAAATATAGCCTCCAATTTGACCTTGTACGCGAGCACTTCATGTGGAACAGACTCTCTCGCAGCTTTAGTAAATACCTTTCTCGACATATTCATATCAAAATGCAAGGCTCTACATATAGTACTCAGCGACACATTTTTTCACATTAGGAAATGTGTCTCGAATGAGCTATTGGAGCTCCTCCAGATAAAATGTGGGGTGAGATTTACGTACTTTCGGAGACGAGGTACTATATCGCACGGCAAACGCGGCGAACGGCTTGGTTCCTTAGCAGGCCCCCCAGCTTCCACTACACCGTCAGTCAAGAATAGATTAAACCAGCGACGTAGCGTTCGCTGGTTTGGCCCAAATATACCACTAATGTACTTCATGCAAATACCGTACACATGAATGAGGAAGATAGCGCGCCAGCGAAAATCATGAGAGTACATGCTAAACTTGTGCTTGATAAAGGCTTTTGGAAACTGAAGGGCAGGCTGAAGTATGCCAGAGTAAGAGGATGGAAATCCTCTTCGAAGATTCGTTTCCCAAGTGGATCAAGAGGACGTAAGGATTACATGAACAGCAACGAGAAGGAGAGGACGGCGGATGGCGGACACAAGTTGAAGACTGACGGGTTGCCGAGGCGGACCCACAGATGTGAGGATCGTGCCCGCGTCCTTTCGAGTGAAGCCAGAAGAAGACAGTAGCACGACGCAGATGACAACGCATGGATGGACGGCACCCATGAGAGGCGCGACGAAGTCGACGTGAACCTGGCGGTCAACTTGAGGGAGGTGAATCAGTTCTAAATACACCTGAAGTGCGCAAGTGCTCCGGTGAACTAGGAAGGGATTAGCTGCGAAGTGCGCGAGCATCTAGTGGTCGAGCGGCTCCGCCGTGTTGGCAACGTACGCGAATAAAGAGATTGAAGCCGAGTGTATTGCTTATTGTGTGTGTACTGAGCTAGTGGACGCGTCGGGTGTGAAGAAGCGGGTATCTGAAGTCCCGTGAGGTCACACACTCGCGGTATCGGCAGCCCGCTCGTGGTAGCTGCAGCGGCCACGGCCAAGAGCACAGGTCCCTGAGAACCGATCACACGCTCGCGGTATCTGCAGCCCGCTCGTGATTGACTGTAGTGCTGCGGAAAGAGCACATGCCTAGGAGATCCTGACGCCCTCGCCTCTATTCGGTCGGCAAGATTTATCTCTAAATCTGTGCATATTTCGTGTCGTGTATATTTAGGGCTGTAGGGGTTTGTGTGATTGCAGAGCGGAGTAGTGGTCGCTAAAGTATACACTGGTGGTCATACGGAGGAGTGAGTTGCTCGAGAAGACAACGGCAAAGAGCGACAGGAGATAAAAAGAACGCTTACTTGGTGGACATCCAGGGGCCTTCTAACACGGTTGGCTCCCGAGAACATCGAGACCTTGGCCCAGAGGCACGCACCTTGCTGGGAGCGGCGAGTGAGGGGAAATCGATCCACGGAAGGCTACGGAGGGATCTACGGAAGGCTTCGGTGGGATCCACGGATTAAACTACGGAATTAGAGGCAACGGAGTTGAAGAGAGAAAGAGTGAGTGAGTACAGACTCCTAAACGGAAAACAAGAGGTAGATAAGAAAAACAGAGGGATTGAGCAATGGTGAGCACGAGATCATCACCGAGAAACAGTATTTCTATGGTAGGGATGCCTACGAGAAGACAAGCGATCACGCCAAAGCGTGCTAGACGTCCGAGAACCCGTATTCAACTAGCGGATGATGATGACGGCGTCAACGAGAATGACGAGATTGCAGTGAGCAGCGGAGTTGTAGTAGCGGCTATGCGACCAGCCCTGAGAGACCCTGCTGATGACAGCGATAGTGACAACCAAGCCTAAGACGGTAACCGAGCGGGAAGAAATGCTGAAGGAAGAGCGCAGGCTTATTTACGCGCAGGAGGCAATCAACCAGACGGCGGTGCTCCACCACCCCCAGCTAGAGCAGCGGCACCAGCAGCCCCTAACCAACAGGGTGATGACTTGGAGACGATGAACTGGTGGGATCAACTGACAGCCCCACATCAGAGAGCGATGATGAAGCGGTTCTTGATACAACTACCACTTGCAGCGCCTGCACAGCTGGTCATAGTCCAAGCACCTGCGACCCCCGCACCCCGAGCGAGGATGAAGACGCTGAACTTGACAGACTTTCATGAGAAGCCTAGTGAATCAAGTGAGGCGTGGCTAGCGAAGATTCCGCAAGAAGCTGAGCGGCAGGCATGACAGATACCTGGACGGCAGATGAATTGTACCTGGGTGTCAGTGCACATCTGCAAGGGGAGGCAGGAGACTGGCTGACGATGCTGACGGCAACTATGAGAGAGGAGGACAAAACGCTCGGCTACTTGGTTAAGAAGCTCCTCAAGAAGTACGGCAGCCGGGATAACTTGCTCAAGACACAGCATAAACTGGCCGCGAGAGTGCAGCAGCCAGGGGAACGACTTGGTGCTTTCGCCGGTCGACTGGGACAGATCGGCTTCGGCAAGAGAGCTCCTGAGGAGTCATACGTGGAGGCGTTCATGAACGGCATCAACATCGAGATGGTGGGAATGCAGATACGAGGACACCATCCTCGGACGTTGGACGACGCTGTGCAGCTGGCAGAAGATGCGAGCGGAGTTTAAGGCGAAGGAGTGAAAGTGACTGACTGGCGAGTGGCTCAAAAGCGGTACCGTGACGACAAAACAACAGCAAGCAGCGCGGATGGGGCTCCGACAGCCAAACAAAAGGCTTCAGCTACGGCGGTGATAGACCAGAGTGACTGGGCGAAACTGGGCCTGGGAGGACTGGCAGCGAGCGAAGAACAGCCCATGTTCGAAGCTGAAGGTGGCGCCATTAATCGATGGGAGAAGTCGACAGAAAGAGACACGCTGTCTATCGCAGCTCTGCAAGCACTGATATTGACAGCCCGCAGTGGCCCTGATGAAAACAAAGACGGCAGCAATGAAGCCGAAGGCACGAGTTTTCGAGATAAAAGCCGAATCACGCGAGGCCACTGCAGAAGATGATCACCAGCGCCATTCGAAACGGCAGGCAAACCCAAACTGGCAGGAACGGGACGGACGCGAAGATACTCGGGGAAGTGGGCATTATGGGCCGATGGACACGCCAGAGATCCAACAGCGAAAAGCGAACACGAGATGTGGTTACTGTGGCAACCTTGGACAGTGGTGGCAAAAGTGCAGAGCACGGCTGAAGGACTTGAACGGTCAACAACCAGCGCAGCAGCAACTGCAGCCCGCGCAAGCGACGGCTAGCAGTAGCGAGAGAAGAGGAGCATCTGCAGCCACGACACCAGCAGATCCAGCAGCGACGTCAGCAGTAGCTCCGGAAAATGGTCAGCGACAGTAGAGATGGGGATTCTGCTGCTCGTGACTAAAGGACACCCCGACGCTGAACAAGAAGAAATGAGAAGCGGCCGTACACGAACCAAGAGGAGGAACACCAAGCGCAAGCGACGGTGGACGGAGCGCCAAGACGACGGCTTCGGGATAGTCGGTTCAGCCCAGAAGAAGAGCGGAAGCCCTGAAGGCCTGACTGTGACAGGGTGTTGTACCTTGGGTAGTTCAGTTCAGGGGACGAGTGAGGCGGTTGGCGCGAGTAGACTAATGATCAGATGGAAATTGACCGGCCGGAGAGAACGGAAGAGGCGGACACAGCTGAGAAGGAAGAAGAGACCCCAGCGGTAACAAGTGAGTCAGCAGCTAGTGTTGAAGCGGCGGAAGAGGCAGACAAACCAGTAGATGCAGTGACTGCGGGTCCACGAGAGCAGGTGACGGCAGGTCCAGCGGTTGTTGAACGCCAGATGGTGCCGAAAAATGTTGGACGGACAGCGTCGGCCAGACGAAGGAAGAGACGAGCTGAGCATGAAGTTGCGGCAGACACAG